AAGGGGTGGGATAGCAACTTCCAGATCGCCAAGGTGGATAGGGTGGCTTGTGATTGTCTGCTTTTCCACATCCAACGCTGGCCACGTGGCAACAGGGCAGGTCGGGTTTGCCCATGTGGTCGTTCAGCGATATGCCATGTGGAATATGTGCTTTCAATTTTTTGTGTTTCTACATATTGGTCACGTGGCAGGGAAGGAGGTGCTGGGAAGATCGGCACCAATGCCTATGCGATTGACTTGTGTTCTGTCACGTGAATATTGCGAGTTGACCTTTTTTCATTTTCTATAAACATGGATTCTCACCGCGTGGCAGGGTAGGAAGTGCAGTGGTGCTAGGCATCCAGGTTGTATATGTCGTTGTTTTGCTCTCCTGCTACGTGGGTATTTTGCTTTGAATTTGTCTGCAATAGGGCTTTCCACCACTTGAGTGGTTTGTAGTTAATTACGATCGTGGGGAGGAAGCTCAATATAACTACTGATAAACCGCTAAATTATCTCGCCCTGCAATCAAGTTCTATGCCTTATCGGAGTCTCCCCCACTCCTCACGGTAGGGCGGAGATTGATTCTGCACACAATGGGGTTAATCCTTCCCCACCTGGGGAAGCAATGAATGCCCCGTGATTATGCTACAGTCGTATTATGCAGGGAAGCTGTCTCCAGGGGAGCAGTGGCTGAGGCTCTTCCAGCCCTAATGGGAAGAGGCGTGGGTATAAGCTTGTAATCAAATTCGTAATTGGAGCCTTGGGCACTGGGCCCTTTGAAAAAAAAAAAAAAAAAAAAGGAAAAAAAAAAGGGCTGGGAGATGGTGTCAGTAACTGCTATTCGGTCCAAGTTACCCCTGAGATGGTGGGGCGATAGTCTTGAGTGATTCACACTGAGGTAAGATAGTGGGAATTGGGGTGCGCTAGGAGAATCGATGAGAGGATGGGTAGGGAGGCCGTCTTATAAAAATGGAACAACGGATGGCTAGCTGAGATTGCAACTACCGTGTGTGTCCGGCACCTGGCCTCTACAACGGATGACAGGTACCTTCATCAAAATATACATCGGGTTTGGTGCAAATGCTTGTTCACAAGTGAAATTATTTTTATTTTATTCTTTTCTGATGTGACCGAACTAAGGCTTGGACCCCACTGGCCGGCAGCCTGGAAAAGTTTTTCCGCCGACATCATTTCGGGACGCCACCAGGCCGCCAGGAACAGTTCGCAGCCAAAGGCTGCGCCTTACCCGGTTCGGCTTTTTTGTCGTCTTGCGTATTTCTTTTTAAGGCAGGTTTTCGTCGTTTAAGCGGGGTTTAGATCGCGTCGACAGGTGCTTCTGAAGGGTGCCGTCGCAAACGTAAAAAGGACCGGTCGTGTCAGAGCTTAGAGGCTCAGCGACCGGTGGCGGGCTGGGAGGTCGTTCATGTAATGACGGTGGTCGGCGCCTATCGTGTGGTTTCAGTTTCCTTTTTGGGAAGAAGGCCGGAGGACTCTCGATGTGAAAAATGAGACTGGATCCACCATTGGGACATGGAAAGATACATTGCGATCTTTTTTTGTGCATGTGGAGAGTGGCGCAGCGAGCCAGGGAAAAAAGAACTGGATCCACCATTGGAACATGGAAATATACATTGCTATCTTTTTTGTCTTTTGCGCATCTTTTGTGCATGTGGAAAGTCGCGCAGCGAACCAGGGAAAAAAGAAGAAAAAAAGAAGACAGAAGGAAATGTGCCGTTTATTTTTTTTTTGTGTCCCCGCTCCCCCCCCCAAACCGTTGAGATAGATATATCCCAACCGTTGGTAGGCAACGACGCTGTACCTGCCGCGTTTCCCGTCGAGATCGAGAGAGAGAGAGAGAGAGAGAGAGAGAGAGAGAGAGAGAGAGAGAGAGAGAGAGAGAGAGAGAGAGAGAGAGAGAA